GTAGGAAAGATAACGGTTAATCCTATACTTAAACAGTTAATATTGTAGTGATCGGGTAAGCACCATTTTGAGAGTGAATACATAAATAAAGAAAGTAATATCCGACCAATGACGTTTGTTTTTTTTTAAATTTAGTGAATAATTCATAGAAATTCTTAATATGGTATCTGTTTTGTTTTTGGTTTTTTAGAAACTCAATTAAAGAATATTGATTTTCCAAGCAGAGCTTAAATGTGGCACAAGGCCGAAAGTAGGGGGCATCCAGTGAGGATCGAACTCAATACTCATTCGTAATTGTTCTAGGGAGTCAAGCTTGCTAACCATTGCACCTCCTCGGGGTGTCTAAATGATTTTCTAGGCGTAGTTTAGATGTGGCACAAGGCCGAATGTATGAGACACCCATTCTTAATTGTTCTAGGGAGACAAGCTCGCTAACCATTACACCACATCGAGCTGCTTAATTCAATGAAAGTATAATCATAATACAATTGAAAATATGAACCCGATTAATATGATGGTTGATAAAGAAGACAAACAAATTCGTCTTAATCGGGGCTTTAATCGGCCTGGATATATTTTGTGAATCAGTCAGAAGTGATATTAATACACGTGCCAATGCGTTTAACTATAAGGATATACAGGAAAAAATACGACTAATAAAACGGATGGATTTTAAAATCTAAACCATAACATTTACATGTCTATGAAAATCTATAATACATTATATGTCACCTCATTTCGCTTCATAAACAATTGAAAATGCGAAAACAAAATTTATGACAAGAATATACAAGAAAGAAGAAGGAGGTAAGGACGAAACGTTTAACAAATAGCAAAGGTATATCAGCAGCTGTTGCCAGTCTGCTTATAATTGTAAGTCTATGATTATGTGCACCTATCGACTCAGTCATCCATGTTTGTTTCAAAATTGGGTCAAACATTATTGGTTCTTTAGTCACAAAACGTTGGAAAGCAAAGAATAAAATTTACCTTTGCATTTAACTAAGTGGTTAACGTTTTATTTATCCGGAAACGTCGGATAAGTTCTTAATATGGTGCTTTTTAAATACCGAAAAAGGAAGATTACCAAGTAGCTGAAAGTCAACCTTCTACTTAAAAAAGACAAATGATGCCTTGTTGTGGATGAACCAACAACCGTAGTTGACTACTAAGTTACAATATAAATAAACTCATGGCCAATGCTAATGATTATATATATATATATTATATATATATATAATGATTATATATATATATATATATATATATATATATATATATATATATATATATATATATATATATATATATGTGTATATATATATATATAGGCATTTTATATTTAATATTATTTTATATAGATACAAGTAAATATATATATTTATGATAATATATATATATATAAATATATATATATATATATGAATGTCCGAGAAATTTTCATAGGACATTCAGGCCTGAATGTCCGAAAATTTTCATATATTTAATATTGTTTATTATAAACAGAACATTTACTAAAATACTTGTATCTATATAAAGAATGTTAAACATAAAATGCCTTTTAATAAATTGTCGGACTTTGTCCATTTCTTAATATATATATAAGGCAGGATGTTTGTGTTTGTGTAACGAATGCACGGCCGCAATTTTCGACGGATTTGCACCAAAATTTACATGCATATGCTCCAAGTTAGCGGGAAGGCCAAGACCGACTTTGCATTTCCCAACTCCCATCGATAGTGGAAATAATCGATTTTTTCATGCTTCTACGGCACATTTCATGTAGTTTGCGGCCATTTTGTACTAGCCAGAGTGAGAGCCTATAACTGTCTGCCACGAATAGGCAGGAAGATAATATTTGCCAGCGTGAGAGCCAACAGCTAACTGACACGAATGTTAACTAGCATGCTAGCATGCAAAAAAATCGATAGCTACATTCGTCACAAGTGGGAAAAATTTAAATCAGCATGGCACTTTACTCCAGTTGGCTCATTCGCTTGCTTAAACTCAACGTTGATTCTGATTCCACAGAACTGGGTTGGGTGTAAAAAAGTATTTGTTGTTAACGTTCTTTTTTCATTCGGTTTTTTCAGTTACGAGTCCTTTTTTTAAAGCTAATCGTTTTGTGTTCATTTTGTTTAGTTCTTTTTTCGTAACAGATTTAATGTTTAGTATGGAGCATACAAAATAATTTGAAGTGTAAGATAGGCAAGAAGTAAGGCATGTAGCAACATCAGCACGGCAAAGGGCACTCCTTTAAATGCAAGGAAGGGCAAAAATATTTTTAGTCAAGTGATAGCGATTGCTGTATGAGTCGTACGATTTTTGAATCAAGAACGGGAAAAGCTGGGCCATGCTGTTAATATATATATATATATATATATATATATATATATATATATATATATATTATTTTCATTTTCATGTTCACGACGTTTCGGCCGTTATAGGCCCCGGCTATCTTCAGGTTCTTTCTATATTTCTGAGATGAAGTATTCTAATTATTTACATTGTTGTCCCCATTTTTATTGTCGCGTTCACGACGTTTCAACCATTGTACGGTCCGGCCTTCTTCAGGATCTGTCTATATTTCTGAGATGAGGTATCGTCATTATTTACACTAGTTACATTATTCGGACAGTTCCCCTCATATTTATTGTCAGGTTCACGACGTTTCGACTGTTGTACGCTCCGTCCTTCTTCAGGATCTGTCTATATTTTTGCAATGAAGTATTGTAATTATTTAAATTATTTACATTTTTAAGACTGTTATCTTTATTGACATGTTCAAGACGTTTCGGCCGTTGTACGCATCGGCCTTCCTCAGATTGGAAATTCGACCAAAGACCTTTATTTCATGCACTGGAGTAGATTGTTTTTGGTCCACGTGCCATACCTCTTCCGGATGTCTAAGTTATCTCCTTTTAAACTCAACTCTCTAAGTTTTTGGATTGATTGGGATTTCCTCTTAGGCACATGGTCAGTTGGCAGAATCCAGTGACTTGAACCCAAAACCTGTGAGTACTTAAAATAGACACAGCTTGTCTATATTATTTAATGAAACATGCATCAATATATATATATATATATATTAAAGACATTTTTATGTTTATTCTTTTTTATAGATACATATTTAAGTAAATTAATACAAACAGACAATAACATTTACCGTTTAACGTTTTCATTTTCGTTCTTTGACGGATTCGAACCTACAAACCGTCATTTACGCTGAATGCCTTACCGTTCGGCTACAAAGAACCGTTCGGTAGACAAACAAATTTATTAAAACTAATCTTCCATTTACATTCATAACTGCTCTGAAAATGTAAACAAATGACGTCATATTTGGACAAGGTCCGACAATTTATTTAAAAGACATTTTTATGTTTAACGTTCTTTTTATAGATACAAGTATTTAAGTAAATGATCTGTTTATAATAAACAGTATTAAATAACATTTAACCCTAATGTCCGGAACATAGAAAATATTCGTCATTTCTGCATCCTATACGGAACCGTCATTTACGCTGACGTGCCTTACCGTTCGGCTACAAAGAACCGTTCGGTAGACAAGGTCAAATTTACTGTTTATAAACTTCAATCTTCCATGAATGTCGTACATTCATAACTGCATCCTATACCGTTCTCTTAAGCAGCTTCCTCTCCTATTTAGGGTTAGAGTTTGTAAAAGGATTAACGAATAGGATTTTATCTATTTGCATATGTTGGTTATAGGAAAAATAGAGTGAAGATTTAGACGGGGAAAAGTTAACTACTGATCACGTGTCCGCAGCAATATGGCGTCGCCAATAAGATGCTTACATTGCTTGGACGAACTAGAATTTGTCGAGACTTGGATCCGGTGTTTTGCAGAAGAAGCTAGGGCTACAAATTGAAAGATAGTAAGGGAAGACGACGAGAAAATAGTAAATAAGGTTACATAGTGTGGAAAATTATTCCAGGTGATGGGATTTTGTAAAAATGTGTGTACAACTGGCAATGTTTAAAAAAAGTTCCCTTTTTTCGAGTGTGCATTGTCGAAGAAAAATTAAAAATTCTTCGAACGAATGCTAATGTGAATATATCTTGTTTCGTTTTGTTGTGATTGACTATTAATTGATTAGTTTCAAAGAAGGAATTCCTTGTGGCCGAACTCAACATGTTGACGTGAAAAATCTTTATGTACGGAACATTGCAATCGTTTTGGATCATTGCTTATTTTGTCTCTATTGATTATGACAAACAGGCCCAATAAAGAAATATGAATTGATGAAAACTTGTTTTGATTGGTTCTAAATTACGAGTTTTTTTTTTTATTTCTAAATTTTGTGGCTCTTCTAGATGTTATGAGCTGATCTATTTTTGGCTTGACGAAACCATCTAGTTCCAAGACTGAAGAAAAGCTCTTGTAAACTTAAATTCCCGATTTTTTTCGTTTTGGTTCAGTTGTATTTCGTTTGCAGGCAAGACATGGGAAACGAAAATGTGGCTTATAGATAAAAAGTAAGAGTTCTTTGAATGAATGCTAATATGAAAAAATGCATTGTTCTATATTGTAGTAAGTGAGTGTTTATTGAAATATTTAGTCTCAAAGAAAGAATTTCTTGAGGCCTGTCACAACATGTTGACTTGATTTACAGATTATTTAATGTCAGGAAATATTTTTTAGATTCTAAGAATATTTTGGAGATAATAAAGTTTTTATGATACAAGTCATAATAATTAAGTTACACTTAGCGGAGAAATCATTCTTTTCCCAAGGATATTTGCTCGTAAGTGAATATAACGGACCCGATTGGCATTGGAACTCGGCTCTTTGATTTCCAATTCCGAGCCGTTATCCTTTAAATCAGCCGTACATCTAAGCTTACAGCACCTGGTATTTCCAAGCGGTCACCCATCTAGGTACTGACCAAGCTCGACGTTGCTTAACTTCGGTGATCGTACGAGAACCGGTGTTTCAACGTGACATGAAAAGCCATACCAGCTGAACATCGAAGCTTACATCAACTGGTATTCACAAACGGTCACCCATCTAGGTACTGACCAGGCTCGACGTTGTTTAACTTCGGTGATCGTACGAGAACCGGTGTTTCCACGTGATATGGCCGTAATCCCGTGTTGAAGAATCTTTATTCACGTAGCATTATGATCGCTTCGCGTTGCGTGAAGCTACTGAAGAAAATTCTTGTGCCGTCTTTATTGTCTCACATAGGCTCACAAAGTTAATTTTGTGTTTATAAAACTAAAGTAACAAAAAACAGGAAGCTGTGGAGAGCCACGAAGGCAAATATCTTAAAGGGATACGGCCTGTAAAAGTGGAAGAAATGAATGAAAAACAGAAAAAGGATCAATTTTAAATGTTAAAATATACTAAGTGCAACAAAAGGGAGAATGTTGGGGAGAGCCATAATCGCCTACCCACTGAAGGAACGCTGCTTATAAAACAAGAAGAATTGATTTTAAGACATGGCAACGTTCCATAACCGAATTCCTGAAAACGATATCAATTGTTCAACAAAATGTAACGTGGGGTCTTACTAACGCTAACCATCCTTGGTATGACGATAAACTACATCCGGCAGCAAGTCCTCTGATCAGGAGGTTTTGAGGAGCATGGAACCACCTCTTTAATTGCTGACCCGGGGTGGTAGCACCTGTTAGGGTCCCAGTCATGGACAAATAATTAACCCCCAAACTGGGATCAAAAACACTATGAAATATAAAATTATATTCAAAATAACAGCAATACATATTCATCGTAATAAACATTACCAACAATATATGTTGGTTAGAAAAAGGAAGCAGCTATATATTTTTTGTAAAAGAAATTACAAATGCTTCCAAGAAAATTAATTTCGGCATTAAATGACCCATAAAGGAGTCGATATGCCGTAAAAGAAACCAAACGAAACTAGCGCCAACAGGTGGAAGATCTCTACTCTGGCAGATTGTTCTCAATATAAACAAGTCCTATTGCTATGATAGTCAGTCAAGATCCGGATGTCTGTGGTGATAGAAGAAAATGTTTTAGTCAGTGGGTTAATAGGAATTAGCAAGGATTAGATAGTCATCCGAGATAGTTGTTAAGGGCTATTAGGGTGAGATTACATTGTTTTGCTGTGAACATACGCACGTCTCCCACTCACGCTAGTTGTTGATTTGAGATTAAACATTTATCTTGGCAATAAGCTTAAACCACCAATATTAAGGCGTTTGGAAAATACATTCATACTGCTATGAATTAGAAGTTAACAAATCAATGTAGAATAGTGGGTGAATGATACGTAACTACCTTTCTTCTATTCGACAGAGTGTAGTTTATTTTTTTTCCAATGATGTTCACTCTATAAGACTCAAGAAGTAGAGGGTACAGATTTATTGATTCGTTTTTTACAGTGTTATGTTTTGCATATCTCTCTGCGTAGTAGTAGTCGTAGTACAGATCTCCGTGTCCTGAATAGCAACCGGGTTTGCTACGCATAGCCTCTCTATGTTCGCCAGTTGTTCTCTATTTATACTTGTCTATCTAATTTACATATGATACTACATATGGTTCATCAATCCTTTGCAGATTATTTAAAGCCAGAAGAATATGTTTTTAGATTGCAAGAACTTTTTTTTCAGATAATAATGGATTAGTGATGGAAGTCTTACTAATTAACCCATAGCTGGAGAGGAAAGAGGTAGATTCATAGATTTCCGTAAAAAATATATAACGGGCCCAACTTGAATTGTAACTCGGTTCACCGATAAACAATTCCGAGCCATTATCTTATAGACCACTTGCATAGCCAAGCTGTTGATATTCCCAAGAGACGGTTACAGAGGAAGAGGCACAATATATATGTAGTAACAGTTGAGCCTAGACTTGAAAAGGTTAAGATTGTAGTGACCGGGGAAGCATCCACTCGGGAGTCGGTTCCACAAAGAAACGGTTCATTGGAAGAGACTTACATCTCCAACAAGGGAATACGCAGCGAATAGGAGGTGGTTCGTTATAATGGTCTTGGCATGGCGGTGAAGGTTTCAAATGGTCGAACAAAGTAATGTCTTATAAGGACTATTGCTTTAAAAAGTAACATATTCGTCATTGTCTATGAATTCCAAAACAATAGAGCTATGACAGAAGCGTTTAGAAATGTTTTTACAGTGTTTATGGAAATAGTAAAAGTCTGCATATGTGGTTTAAATGGTATAAGAATTGCGATTGTGAAATATGCGACAAGCCTCGTTCTGGAAGACAAAACACTTGCAATAAAGAACTTTTAAAAAAGACTAGTAAATGGGAATCAGGTCAAAGTACTAAATATTTGGTGAAAACAATTGATGTGTTAGTAGAGAATTTACTTCATATTTAGTCACATTTCAGTATAGTGTATTATAAGTAAGTAGTTTATGAAAGATCACATAGTACATCAAAATTCTCAGTCATTTTTGATGGCATTGCGACAAATATTTCTCGGGCGGTTAAACTCAAATACGAGTCGCATTCTTTATCGAGCTTAAGGAAATATTTCTTTATGGGGAAAAAAACGATATATACATTTTTATATATCAAGAAAAATTTAAGGAAAATCTATGACAGTTTGTAAATCACAACTACAGTTGAAAATAATTTATCTAAGCTCAACACAAAAGATTTTGACCGTGTACAGTTTCCTTTTTATCTGTAAGTTTTCATGCATTCCTGATAAAGAAAATAGTAGTTCACATTGTCTTCCTTAACGATTTTGCATTTGAAGCAATCTTTCTCCTAACAGACGAATATGACTCTCCAAAGCTTTCTTTATTGTCTGAGAATTTTCTTGAAAACTTAATAGAATGGCTTACATTCGTCTTTTCCAGGTTTGAATTCTGATTTTTCCTTAGCCTAATTTTCCTTTACCTTTTTAAGGGTTATCAGGACAGTTACCAAAACAGACTCCACCAGAATTTGAAAACTGAATTTACATTCTCACGTAGATAATCATTCGCGGACTCGTTTTTCTTAAAAACAAAAATCAATGCCTTTAGCTTTCTTAAATACTACTATCTTTTGGGGACAGAACCAGGGAAGATTTCGATTACCTTCTTTTAAGAAAATTTGCTTATGCAGTCCGCTAGCTTCAATGATCCGGCATTTTTTAATCATCTGCTATTAGTTCGTAGAGCAGCTACGAAGGCGACATAACACGTTATTTACAACTTTCCGCAGTAGTCGACAGTAGCAGTTTGTTTTAGTCACATGGTCTTATCCATTTCTTATATATATCCGCATTCCGGATAGTAAATATATACATAGATATATATTTGGGTTTTAGTTTTTTTTTTTAGCCTTTCTAATGCTTAAGACAATAAAAAGCCTTGTTTCGAAGCATTAATCATTGTTTCATTTCCTGTTTTATACTTTGTTCTACCGTTCATAACATGACAATATTATATATAGAATAAGCTAGCAAGGCTATGTTCACATACAGCTTTTTTTAAGGGTCGATTTCTGTCATTTGGCGTTCCTGTTCGGAAGTGGTCTACTGCTAAAGATATTGGATTAAAGAGGTCGGTCTATATAACTGTATTTCTGCGGTGAGATTTGGGAATGCTAGTGTGAATTAAAAAAATACACGGCGGAAGTTTTATTAATCTTTTTACTAATTCTCTTAAGCAGCCGAGTGTATTCGTTCTTTTTTTTTTTCTTTTTCTATTCAGAGAATCTAACGTTTTTCTTATTTTCATTCCTATCAAACTCTTGTCTTCGATCTTTTCACATATTTATATTTGACTGGTTATTGCTTTCATTGTGTTTACATTTAGATTTATTTTTCTTTCTTTCATACAACGCGTTTATTGCTTCAGTTATTCTTTTTTCTTACTATTCTTTTCCCTTTATTTGAAGTCAGCTCGCTTTCAATATTTTTCTTTCATACATTCCTTATTTCCTTTCCTTCCTAATTTTTGTCTGAGGTTTGCTTCTCTTTTCTAACCTACTTTTTCTTTGCCTACTGCCGCCATTTCTTCTTTACTTTCCGACTGGCATTTATTCTTTTAAATCATTTTTTGTTTAATTCTATAACAATTCTTTTCGTTTCTTTATCGGCCATACTTTTATTTTTTTTTTCGATTTCACGTATTCTTCTTAGTCCACACGCCATACTTTTCTTTTCTATCTACAGTCATCTTTTATCGATCCTCGCATATCTGAGTCAAATAAAGACACGAAAAGGTGATTGTATGATTGGCTTTAAGAAGAGAAAAGACTCGAGGAAAAAATTAATGAATCAATGACCAAACAAACATGAATATAAAATAAACGTCAAAAAAAAAAAAAAAAAAAAAAAAAAAGAAGAAAGAAAGAAAGATAAGAAAAATGAACTGAAAAAAAAAACTATGACAAGCTGATAGACGTATGGGCTGACAGAAAAAAAAAAAGCAGGGATAAGTAATACCGGAAGTTGGTAAATAATTCTTTGATTTTCGAACAGGAAAGATTTGATGCTTAGGTAGAACTGTTTGTTATTTCATATAGCTATAATACGCTAACTGCTCATGAATATTCATGAGGTCTACCGCCATTGCTATTTCGCTGACTGTTTTCCCTTCTCCACTTGAACGATCATGTGACAAAAGCGGACTGTTGCAGGCAAAACATACAATCGTATAAGTGAGCTATCCTGTAAACAGAGAGGCTGATAGTGCCATCAGACACTTTAAATATATTGGCGAAGAGCCTTGCTTTACTTTCCAAGCAAAAGACTCCATTGTCTCCTATTGCTTCAACATTATCTTCTTCGTAATTGATTGCTTTGTATGTTTAACGGCATATCAACACCTTTGGGTTCATTTAATTCCGAAATTTAATATTCTTGGGGGCTTAGAATCAATAAAATATATTCTTCATTCACAATTGTTACATAGTCGGTACTCAACTTTTTTGCATACCGTATATCCTCGTATATTATTCGACTTTTGAAGACATAATTTTGAAGCTAATTTTAAGGAGGTCAAATCATACACGATATATAAAATTCGCATATGTACTACTGGCTCTCGATACACCGCTGACCAAACTATATATCCATTGACTGTAGTAAAAATGTACAGCTGTATTTAAAATAATCCTGATTTTTATAAAACC